TCCAACCATCAATCCATCTTATTTCTTATACATTTCAAAGTAAGTTTTGCAGACATCAGTACACTTCACCCCTGATCACTTCAGCTTGCATATCATTAACTAGAATTTAAATTTTGTTTACAGTTACTTTTTTCCTGCCTTGAGGTAAAATTTATGTAAATGAACTATATAAGCCTTAAGGTCTCCTAAATACCCTTCATTAGTTTTGAAAAATACATATGCCTGTGTAATCCAAACCTATATCTGAAGATAGAGGATTAGCATAGCCTAGAAAGTTCCTTCATGTTCCTTCTCAGTCAATCCTTAACTCTTTTTCTACCAGAAATAATCACTGTTCTGATTTTTTTCTACTATCAGTTTTCTGTGTTCTAGAACTTCTATACAGTATGAATTATGTTATGTAAGGTTCCTCTCACTCAGTATAACATTTATGAGAGTTATTCATGTTGCTACATCAGTAGTTTGTTCTTTGCATTGCTGTATAGTATTCCATTATTTGAATATACCACTGTTTGTTTATTCATTCTCCTATTGATGGACATTTGGGTTGTTTCCTGTTTGATACTGAGAATGGGGTACTGCTACAACAAATATATAAAAAAATGTGGAGATGGCTTTGGGATTGGGTAAACAGGTAGAGGTGAAGAATTTTGAGGCCCATGACAGAAAGCTTATATCATTTTAGAGAATATCCATATTGTCATAAGCAAAATATTGGTAGAAATATGGACATTAAACGCACTGCCAGTGAAGCTCAAGGAAATGAGGAACATGTTATTGGAAACTGGAGGAAAGGCGATCCTTGCTATTTAGTGTCAGAAAACTTAACTAAATTGTGTCCTACAGTTGTATAGAAAGCAGAACTTGTAAGCAATGAACGTAGACATTTAACTGAGGAGATTTGCAAGCAAAGTGTTGAAGGTGCAGTATGGTTTCTTCTTACTGCTCCTCAGGGAGACTGCCAGGGTCTGTCTGGGATCTCTCTTCTTGTGCAGTGGACTGGAAATTCTCTGGGCAATAAGCTGGGCAATTGAGTCCTTAACTATGTTTGTTTCCCATCTATGAGGAATCACTGTCCTGTGCTTCCTTATGTCCAATGTCCAAAAACAATTCTTTCATAGATTTTTGTTTGTTTGTTTAGTCATTCCAGGCAGGAGGGTAAATCCAATTCTATTATTGCATCATGGCTTCAAGAAGAAGTCTCTTTATTTAAATTTTATTTAATTTCATTCTAATTGATCTATTATCTTTTTGGCTCTATCTCTTTATATTATTTTATAGTGGTTGTTCTGAGGATTACAATATACATTCCAAACCTTTCACAGTCTACTTTGAGTTAATATTCTACCACTTTAAGTAAATGTAGAAGCTTTACAATCATATAAATCTTTTTACCCTTCCCCCTTCATGTTATAATTGTT